AAATGAATTGGTTTTCTTATTTGCAAATACAATCTAGGTTTGATAAAGACTCCAAGGCAGAAGGTATTTATGATAAGTTGACTGACTTAGATAAAATTTTGATGGGTACTGATGAAAAGGTAATTAAAATTTTTTATGAACATCTATTACAATTTAAATTGGAGGAGGAGCAAGTTAAAGGAACGGTGATTGCTTGGGGGAAAAATTTTGGATATGGGATTGATTTGGAAAAATGGCAAAAATTGTGGCCTCAAACTTATAAAACGACAATGTCAACTGCATATAAAGAAAATTTGTATAAGATATTTTACAGGTGGCACCTACCCCCGACGAGACTTACGAGAATGTTTAAGAATAAATCGGATAAATGCTGGAAATGTCATCAGATACCTGGTTCATATTACCATACGTGGTGGACATGTTCAGACGCATAGAAATATTGGACTAAAATCCACACATGGTTGGAAAAAATGATAAAACAACATATAGACTTTAAACCAGAGATTTTTTTATTGGGAGTCATACTGGACATATACAATAAAGAACTGAAATATTTGATTGTAAATGTTTAACAGCAGCTAGAATTGTATTTGTGAAGAACTGGAAAAATGACAAAATACCTATGCAGGAGGAAGTTATCAAAAAAATTATGGACTGTGCTGAAATGAGTAAACTAACATTTGAAATTAGAGAACAAGAAGATAAGCAATTTTATATGATATGGGATTTGTTATATCATATCCACAGTATTTCGCTACTAATCTAGTCACTAATCTACTAATCTAGTCACTATGTTGAAGAATGAAATAAGATTGGTTTGGCATAATCTGTTTTTAACAAACCCATGCTGACTGCTAGTTATTACTTTACTCGTTTCTTGGCAGATGTGTTTTTTTATTATCTTTTCCAGTATCTTCCTGGGCATTGATGTCAGGCTGATTGGTCTGTAGTTTCCTGGGTCTGTTTTTTTTCTTCCTTTTTTTTGAAGACGGGGACCACGTCAGCTCTTTTCCAGTCCTCTGGTAGTTCCCCGGTGCCCCAGGATTTTTGAGATATGGTGCATTGGTTCGGAGATGACCTCTGCCAGTTCCTTTAAAACTCTGGGGTGTAATCCATCAGGCCCCAGTGATTTGTGTTCATCGAGATCAGACAGGTGTTATCTTACTATTTTGTTGCTTATTTTAACTTTTATTTCTGGTCTATTACAGTTATGTTTTTGGAGGGTTGAGCTATAGTTTGTTTTTGCATGAAGACCGATGCAAAGAATGTTAAGCAGCTCTGCTTTCTCTCTGTTGCCTGTTACTGCCTTGCTGTCTTCACTCCTTAGTGGACAGACTGCTTCCTTGATTTTTTTCTTGTTATTTATATGTTGGAAGAAACTTTTTATTATCTTTGACTTTTGTTGCAAGTCTTTGTTCGTTCTGAGCCTTTGCAGATTCTATGTCCTTCTTTCCATTTTTTGTACTTGTCCTTTTTTTCTTTCAATTTGCCAGATAAATCTTTGTGCAGCCATGCTGGTTTCTTCTTGGATTTCTTGTTTTCCCCCCTCAGTTGTATTGTACTGTCTGGGCTTCTATGATTGTACTTTCCAGAGTTTCTCAAGATTCTTGAGTTGTTTTTCCTTTTCCTTTCCTTTCCTTCCTTGCTCTCATTTCTAGAACACTGGCTCTATCCCAGGAGTGCCCAAATGCATAAATGCCACTGCTATGTATGTCTGGCTGAATCGAGACGACGTCCGGCGGGCCCTTCACATTCCCCACTCTGCCAAACTGGGAACTTTGCAGGTGACTGGCTCTGCCTCGGACACTCAAAGGCTGCCCAGAGCAAAGGATCTGCTGCTCAGCACTTAGAGCAGCAGCAACCAAAGGCTTCAGCTAGAGATGGAAGTGCCCTTTGGGGCAAAGGGTCTACCAGAGAAGGGCAGACCAATATTTCATGGCCATTCATCTCTGCAAGTATTTGGGGTTAACTGGCCACAGGCAGTTCTGCTCCTGGTTGCCCTTTTCCACTGCAGAGTGGATCGAAATACAGCTAGTCCTCAACTCGCAACCACAAGGGAGCCCAATTTTTTTTTCTTGCTAAGTGAGACAATTAAGTGGATTTTGCCTCATTTTATGACCTTTCTTGTTATAGTTTTTAAGCAAATCACTGCAGTTGTTAGTAACATGGTTATTAAGTGAATCTGGGCTCCCTATCGACTATGTTTGTCAATAGGTTGCAAAAGGGGATCACGTGACCCTGGGACACTGCAACGGTCATAAGTATGAACCAGTTGCCAAAGGCTCTGACTTTTGATGCTGCAATGGTTGTGAAAAAGTCATCATTTTCAGTGTTGCTGTAACTTCACTCACCATTGTAAGTTGTAAGACCACCATTGTAAGACCACCTATGTCAGCCATTTGCCTTACAAATGTTGCCTTCCAGATATATTGTCTGCAAGTCCCATAGGCCCAACCAACTTTAATAGAATTTCAAATGCTTACTTTCAAATTGTACTTCCTAGACATGACTAAGTTAATCTATAAAGCCACTTTGCTTGAACATTATATCCCATTCAATAATATAGCAACTATTTATTTCAATGTATAGGACCACCTACCTCATATCATAACTCTGGGCGGCTAACAACAGTCAAAACCTAACATAATTTTTTTTTTGAACAAATTTTTTATTAATTTTTAAAGACATACAAAACATACAAAAATTCAAGACATAAAAACATAAAAAATCTCTTTTCTGAAAGTTGCTTAATCCCGGGTCAAAACTCTTGGTACAGACACACATTCAAATTCATATTCATTTTACATACCATTCCATATCTTATTACATTTTCATTTTTCTATATAGCTTCTTTCTTTTAAATTTTCTCAATTTTATTTTATTTATCTCCTCTCAATTCAAATCATAATATTTATTCTTTGTCTGTTCTATTTCCAACTATCCGTTTATCTTTCTTCTTAAAAGAAAAAAAAAAGAAAAACCTTCTCCTGTAGACTGGTTGGAGTATGACGCCTATGTCTCTTTCCCCTATATTTATAATACTTGATTTAAAATACATAACTTACGTTGGGATTCTGTCTGGTACATTCTGACATTATACAATATCATCAAAACCAATACAAATCTATTCATTAATATTAATATTTATTCATATCTTAAACATCTAGCACATTTCTTATCAATTAGGTCACATATTTCTATGGGAGCACCTATGCCATATTAATTCCATCCCCCACATCACATATTATAAATCATTATTACATTACATGTTCCCCTCTCCCTCTTCAAACCTCTCATTTCACAAGTAGTTTCACTATTATAACATAGCCTAATCATTGGTGTTAACAATCATTTATATCTTTAGACATTTTACACATTTCAATTAATTATCATACCATTATGGGAACACTTCTTATACTTTCCAAAATTATTCCCCCCCCCACATCACCAATCTTAAATCGTTATTTCATTAAAGTACTCCCCTCTCTTAACAAAAATTTCACTAAATTATACTAAATATTTATCACATTTTAAATTACATATTATTTCCAATCTTCTATAATTATTTCTAAATACAAATATAAAAATGCAATCTTATGTACCTTTCTAGAATCCCTTTTCCAATAAAATCTATCCATTATCTCTAAAAAACTTTTGTTTTTTTAAATTTTGCTCCCCACCATTAAAGCTTCTCATCCCTTCCTTTCTCCCTTGCTTCTTCTTCTCCTTATTCTCTTTACCCCCTTGTCTCTCCACCTCCCTTTTATCCTGTTTTCCCTCTTTCTGTTGTTTCCTAACACAATATCCTCTTTTCACCTTATTCTTCTCTTTTTGGATTGTTTTCCCAGGTCTTAAAGTCTTCTTCTCCTTCTTCTCCTCCTTTTCTTCCCCAACCAAAGTCACATGTTCTTCAAAAATGGCTTCTTCTTTATCCTGCTCATACAATTTTACATAAGCACAGACCGCCATTTCATAAACTGAAAAAGAGTGCCAAAGACATCTTTCCCTTCTTGCTTTTCTCTTTCATATTTTTGATGTATAAGTTCTAGTTCATCCACAACTAATGCCATTGTACAGAGAAATTTTTTTTTCAGAACAACCACCCAAATGCTTTTAGTCTGGGATAATTCTCATAAAATCCAAAGTCATCAAACAGTCCAATCAGCTGATTCTTTTTAATACTTTCTCTTTTTCCACTTTCTCTTTTTGGGATAAAGTTTGATCACAAAGTTCTCTTTAAAATATATCTTTAGTAAGTCTTATTGCTGTTTAGTAACTCTTTAAAATTAACTCTTTAAAGTTTTAGGCAGTCTTCTCCTTATTTTCAGGTTGCTCCAATTTTTTTTTTCCCTCTCCCTTCCCACTCACAGCCAAAAAAAAAATTCTTATTTTTTTTTTCCCCTTTGAATATTCAGAAATCCTTGCTCCTTCAATATTCATTTACCTCCAGAACAAATTCCCGGATTTCTCTTATGGTTCCACTGCTGTCACATTAGGGAGGAGAGTGAAAGGCAAGAAAAAAAAAAACTTACTTTTGAAATGTTCGCCGCTTGTATCTCTTTCTAGAAACAAAGTATCCTTAGCAGCCTTCGAGGTTACAGGAACTCTCTCTCTTAACTTTATCCCAGTCAGAAGCAACTTCCACAGCTCTTCCCTCTTCCTCCATCACAAATCTTACCCGGCTGCTGGCTTCTTTGAGGCGGCCATTACTGACCGCCGCTCCACCACCTCAGGAAAAAGGGGTTATTCCGGCTGGAAAGGGGATCTGCGTTACCCCAAAACCTCTGTCTGGATCCCCTCTCTCTTCAGCTGCCTCTACAAGGCAGCCATAGCCCCCAGACCTATTTAGATCGGGGGCACCTTGGCAGCGAACGCGGCAGGGATCGCAGAGGCGTGAATTCCTGCCGCTACCGAAGCCGCGCAAAACCGGAAGCCCAAAATGGCGAAAGAACTCAATGTATAGGAAAGAACTCAATTTATAG